TACTGTTATCGCAAAGAAAATCCAGTTACCGGTCAAATGAATTTCGCGTTGTCATTTCTTGCAACAAAAAATACTCAAAATAATGAAGAAATATAACAAATAAAGAAACTGAAGATAAATTTAATGTACCTTTGATGTACCGTCAAGTTCACGTGTGATTCAGTGACTGATTTTCCAAAGCACATTGAGAGCTTTTACGAAGTATGTTCACCCTTTACTTAAACTCTCCGTGAAAATCTCCGGGGTGTCGCTAAGCAATCAATCACCTTGTGACAGTCCTCGTTCCCTTCCTCCTCGAGCCTTATTTCTTCCCGATGTGAATTAACAATAAAAAAACACCAAGCCCATGAATGGATGAGCGAGAGTGTAGCAGTTGTAAAAAATAAAGATAATGATAATAAAAAATAAGAAGGCATACATTAGCAATTGCTTAAAGAGCTCTGTTGAAAATCCGAGCCTGGTTGAGATCTTGCTTTGATGCCGCACACTTTACGGTTCGCTCCCTATTGGAGGATACTAAAACCCTAATGTATTCATGAGATAATTATTTCTTGCATTCATAATATGAGGCTGTAAAGTTTTTTATTGGTCCGAGCCTCCCAGCCAATAGCTCGGGTAATGCAGTTACTAAATACAAAGTTTGCTGGTAACTTCTATTCTCCCGGTCTTTAAATCATATCGTCCGTTAAATAATCTTGTGATCATAACATAACTATTCGCCCAGATAATTACTTCCCACGACATTTTTTTCCCGTAACTAATTTATTGTTTTCGTCCTTAAGTTTTTTTTTTATTTATTAAATCTTTACTATTTTTTATTAGCTCAAAATAATCGACAAAATTTGAAATTAATAAACAGATAATTTATTAAAAAATAATTTATCAGTTTGCAAAAATTTATTTTGTATTAAAGATCAAATATTTGAGATTAGAGATTAAATATTTGAAAAGTTTAAAGGATATTAATTATTATAAAAAGATAAGATTTTTTTTTTTGGATTAAAATAAATAAGAAAATGAATTTTCATGGAAATTATTATAAAATTTATTGACAAAATGAAATTCGGGGATCGAAAGTATCTTTCATGCATTTCCTTGGAGGATTGGCAGCTCTTGAATGCTTATGTATTATTCGTGAGAGGCTGGACTCAGAGGGTAGTTTAAAATTGCCAAGAGGTCTCTTACCCATTCCTTGGGATCGGTATCGGCATCCTTCGAAATCAGTAAAATAGTTGGAATGTGTTTTTTCGAGCTCTCGAACACGTCACATGAATAAAAAAAATCCTTCAAAGTTACTGGCTCGGGCGTTTGCGGTCACCCTCCCGGTCCCTGTCGAGTGGAACGTGCATATGGGAAAATAAGAGTAAAGGACCTAACCGGGAGCTCGAGTTTTTATGAAAATGTCGATCGATAGTGTTTTTACTCTTCTATGTTTTTGTCCTTTAACCACCGGAAATTCAATTTTCTTTGAAAATATTCAAATATCAATGAATCGTGTGATATTGTCACTTGAATAAAGTATTTTTTTATGTACTGGCGAGGGTGGAATTTAGGGGATGAATTGATGCTTATAGCTTTGCCTCCTAAGCGCCGTTACGGATCATAAAACATCTTCAGTCACACAAGCTATTCCACTGAATTCGTCAAATAATTCTTATACTTTTATTGAGTACTTTATTTTTAGTTTCTTTGAATTTTTACTCGAAAATAAAAATTTTTCAAGACTTTAGTTCTCGTGAAAAATTTTTTTAGTAGCCAAATTTTCATATCAGACTATTTTAGGTCTCATACAAAATTATTTGGTCATATATGGTTTTATAATTTTCAATTTTTATTAATTTTCTGAAAAATTTTCATGTTATATTAATTATTTTGAATTTTTACATATTTAAAATAGTTTTTAATTCGTAGTTTTTATAAAAAACTTTCAATTTTTTTCTTTTAAAGTTAAAAATAAAAAGAATTACTTATATTTTAGAATTTAACTCTCTAGTAATGAGAAAACTTAGCAATCATGCGCCACCTGGAGGAGATTTCTATTACTATTTTATAAAAAAATTATATATAACTATATCAGGCTTTATGTATGACCAATTTCCATATCAAATTATATTAGAACATATAAAAAATAATATAAAGACAAATCAAGAATTTTTCTCACGTGTTTTTTGTAAAAAATTCACTAAAGATTTCCATACATAAAAATACAAGAACACTTAACGTTAAAAAATCATAAGGGAAACATTTTTATCATGATAACCATGATCCCCTCGGACCTGTCCCATTCGAGTAACCGCACTACCAATCAACAGCAATTTCAAGAGCCCTTACATTACTTTCTGGTAATAAACTAGCAGAACAATTTAATTCTCCAGCGGCAAAAGCAAAATAGGAGCGGGTATAAATTGGGCTTTCATAAAAAAAAAAAAACAGGTTGGTACAACCGGTGGCAAGATCATGGATAGTAAAGACTTGTGGGAGGGTACGCTCGTCACTCGTCACTGATGACGGGTCATATTTGGATACGGTGTTTTCACGTCAAGTTGAGGGTGCGTCTGTATCTACGAGGCCGGCAACATAATCTCCGATTGAGGGTCGTGGCACATCCAAACACCAGGGAACATCTTATCTTTATATTACACATAGCCAGTGGTACTCAATGCGATGTACATCGCTTAAAAAAAAGCCTATCACAATAATAAAAGGGAGAACACTCGATGGGGGATTAATATTAATAATATTACACTTTTTTTCTTATCAAAAAAAAGTTATGGCTCAATTTTCTTAGGGAAATTTTGAATGTATTATCGCTGTTTATTTATATTTATTTTAGTAACAGTAAAAATCTTTTGTTTTGTCCGTAAGACAGAACATGATTCATGTGCTTGCAGGCGTCGGTGTTTACCATAAAAACTATAAATCCTCGACAATCCCATGAGATATTCGCCCTTTTATAAAACGCAGAGAGAAAATCACATTTCTGTCTTTTTTTGCTGTCCAAGCGTCGCTGCTGGCGAGCAGAAATTTATGTATCCCGGAAAATGTGAGTCATTCGATATGGCAAATAATTTCATAAAATATCTCGAGCTGTCTTTGTTAGCAGAATCAATAATTTCTACAAAAGAATTCGAATTCAAGCTCAAATTAATTTAATACATAATGTATACTTCAAAAATTACAGTAATTTGAACAGTAAATGTAAATGTGACAATCATTTTTTGGCAACCGAAATACCAGCAGTTGAAATAATGTCTGTTTCACGTCAGCCGAGCTTTTGATTCATGTCGACCCTCCTACGCTACCCTACTGCTACTGTTCCATGTTCTTCAATGTTCGCTGTGTAATTCAAAATTCTTTACGCATTTCATCGAGTTTCAGGAGGATAAAAAAAACAGGGGAAGGACCCACGGAATTTTTTCTTCGGTAAAAAAAGTTTACACGGGTGTCATAAGCCAACGCACTCAATTTAAAGATTGTTTGGGAGTATGAAGGTTGTCTGATAGACTGAGGGTTGCTCAAGCCCCTTTGGCTTTAGATTCATTCATCAATAACGGCTTTATAATCTTCCTCCGTCATATTTTGCAGTTCATTTCTCAATTTATCTTGTCGATTAAATTGAGAAGCCTTTCCAAAGATTTTCAAATTTTTTTTTGTATACTTATAATGATTTGAAGGACACTTATTCTACTAGTCTACTTAAAATATCACTAGTACAAATTGATATTGTCAAATTTACCCACGATAAGTGAAAGTAAAAGACACGAGACTACTGCTAGGACGTAGCGTGAGTGGAATGGCAAATTGTTGGACAGTAGCAAAGCGTGGAGCGACGAGAGAAAGGCAGGCGATTGTGAAGAACGTTGTCTGATGGAACTACTGGTTGATGGGGATACGAAGCAAGGGAGCGAGAGAGAGGCTCGGGTAATCTGTGATTCAAAGAGAACGATCCATCTTGCAAGTTGCCAGGATTCAATCGTCGACATTTGTTTGCGAAATCAGTCCCAGAGGACTCATTCACTCTCATTCTCTTGTCTCGTTCATCCAAATATCCCAATCATTCACTAAAATATCTATTTATTATTGTTCTATTAAAAAATTTTGTCAATTAAATTAGCTTAATTGTTAATTAAATCAAAAAAATAATGATCTATAAGCTTTTTAAAATTTTGAAAACAAATTATCTATATTTTAAGAATTAACTCTCCACTAGTGAGAGAATTCGGCGATCATGCGCCACCTGTTGGCATTTTTTGGTACTAATTTTTTATTAAAAATTTTTTATGGAGTTATTAGACTATACCAAACTAAATTTTTATATCCAGACATATAAAAAATTATAAATCAACATATTAAAAATATTTTTTTCAAGGGATTGATCCATATTAATTGTTATTGTCAATTCTCCTTTTGTATGAATAATTCCGTATAATACAGAGAATTTGGAAACTCGAATTAATTCCTGGGAGAGAAAAGGCTCGGGCTTAATAAGGTGATATATATTTATTTGGCGGGTAGGGTGGAGTTTATAGGCAAAAGAGGGTGAGGAAACAAGAGTCGATCTATGGAAGACGTAAACCAAGTAGCTTAGCATTCCGAAAAAAGTAAAATAAAATAAAAATAGAATACGAATTCGATGGGATATTTCTCGATGTAGCAGATCCTATAAAGTGACCCCTGCAGTCGGTGGAGCGTCTCTCCCTTGAGCTACAATCGACAGTATCCCATCGTCCGTTTCATTCTATATACTACATACTACATTCGATCCCCTGAAATGCGCGGGCTCTTGGCCTTTTCCACACACAAAATTATTGCTCTTCTTATATATTCGTCCATCGAATCGGGGCACGTTGAATAATTCGGCTCTCTGGATTTCGGAGATAAGGGAAAACATCGAATCGACTGTGCAGACCAAAGGAAAAATAAGTTTATCTCAAAAAAAAATTCACTTTTTCAAATTAATTTAGAAAATTTACAAACCTCTTTGGTTTCTAATAGCTTATTTATTTATTTTGTATGTAATGATAATTTATGAACCTCGTTTCTTGTATTATCTGAGCTGTTAGGTTAACAGTATGACATCCAAATAACAACATGTTTCTCGGTTGAACTTTGACTGCGAACCGCAAGAAAGCCATTGAATACACGATTAATGCTTATGTAAAAAATAATATAATATAATTATCATCATTGTTATTGTTATTATTATTATTAATTATTTAAATTTATACCTAAAGTCATGTTACCGCTGATTATTTCAGGACTCTTTTTAAAGTCTGATATTGCCGCTATAGGAATTCCCCAATTCAACACAGGGCCCCAGAAATGTGTGCTAATTTATTAATAACATTGCTCAATACTTCTTAAAAACATATTTATTAACATAAACATAATGAGAATTACTGACCTCATTAACCATTCCCTGGTTTCTTTTTGATTCAATATTTTTTTTACAACACTCATGATTAAAATAGAAAATTGTGCTTCATTAATAATCGATGCTCTCAAATCAAGTTACCTCATAATTACAGATCAAAATATGATTAATCGAAGTTATAATAAATTTATTATGTCGAGTGTGTAGTCAATGGCTTTTGGCAGTAAACTAACCATGTATTCTGTTAAAACAAACTAGTGAACTCGTTTAAAGTCTGATATCGAATGTCGTCATAGCTTTCGTTGATTAGCATATTATATTATGATAATGTCTTTCACAACAGTTTTATTCATAATAAATAAATATAAATATAAATATAAATATAAATACAAATACATGTTTAATTTATAAGACGTAGATTCGTACTCAAAGTATTACGCAAAGTAAGGAGTAATAAATTCAATTAAATTATTTTTGATTTAATTAATGAAATAAGAGCATTTTTAAATTAAAAATATTCGTTTTTTTATTTATAAATTAATGAATTAAATTCACAAGGGAATAATTTATTATAATGACATTCATACGGCGAACAATAAATTACAGCAAGTCGTTGAGATAATCAATCATAAGAGTTGTTGATACATTTGCATAAGCATTTACCCGCATCATTGATCATAAACCCCCTAATGCTAACAATGATATATATTTATATTTTTCCTCCAGTGCTCCTATTTCTATTCCTGTATTCTGACACTTGATTTTTGCCTACAACAAACGTCACGCTTAGCTCTCTTGTCTTATTTTTCCGACCCCTCATCCCTCATAATAAATGCACAGGTTATTATTTTATACATATAATATTGATGGCGGTATGAATGTTGCATGGAGAATACACGTACGATATACGATATACGATATACGATATACGATATACGGTGTCTTGAAGTCTTACAATATTAGGGGGTGGATCATACTGGAGAGTGGAGGGAGAAATACCGAGTGTGTACCCTCAACCACTCAGCCACCGAGAGGGGTAAAGTGAGCATGCGCTAAAATGGGGTGGTATTATTGATCCAAGCGGGTGGATTCTGGAATCTAAAGGGTCCAGCATCGTGCCCAGGTTCTTCTGTGCCCTTGACTCTCTGTTTTTTTTTAGTTTTTCCTTTTTTTATCGTCCCTTTTCTTTCATCAATATAATCAATATTATTTTTTTTGAGCTACTTTTACTATGAAAAAATTATTTTAATGAATTTTTAATTTTCTTATTTATTTATTTAATGAATTTAAGAGATTCTTTTTTAATTTATACTGAGATATTTAATTTTATGTATCTTGAATATTTTTTGCGTGAGTTAAAATTAAATTAATAAAAAATAATTGTAAAAATAAGAAAAAAAAGTCACAAAAAACAGACTTTTTTTGCAGCGGCGTGAGATTTTCAAGCGTTTGTTTGACAATAGCTTATCTGAATGCGTTGGACATATATTCCATCGCACATTTGGTTCCCTCAAAAGCATAAACTCTGTAGTGTACTTTTAGGTTCTAACAAAGTCCGGCAAGTAGTCTTTTTTTCTGTCCCTAACTTGAATGCCTTATACACATCGAGAAAACGCGGGTCTCAATAAAAAGTCACAAGATTGCAAGAGAACTCGTTTCATCTCGAGAAAGTATCAAGTGTAAGCCGAGAGCGACACACCCTCGTGTCCCGAGACTTACAGGAAAATATTCTCTCGCCCTTTGACAACTCCAATGAATAGAACCATTTGCATCAAGGGTTTTCCAAATGTGAAAGCTTTACATTCAGTCTTTTCAAGTGTTAGAACTTTTTTTTATTCAAATGATTAATGATTACATGATTAGAAATTAATCGAACTAGTCGACTTTTTGCAAATTACTATTTAATTTATTAATTTTTTATACAAAAAATTTATTTATTAATCTTTTCATTAATTTTTTATACAAACTATTTATTAATCTTTTTATTAATTTTTTATACAAAAAATTTATTGATTAATTTTTTATCAAAAAAATTAATTTATTAATTTTTTGCAATAAGATTAAAAAGTCAAAAATTGGGAATGCTGATTGTCTTAAAGCTTAAAGCTACTGTGGTCTTATTTATGCACTGCTCGACGGTGTAATTGTTCAGTGACTGGTTCTTGATGCGCCGCCATTTGAGTAAAAGATTCTTGGCGCTTCAAAGAGTCACTTTGGTTTAGCCTTTACCTTTGTATTCCTTCGCTCTTCTTAATTTCACTCTACATAACCGTCCGCTACGCCTGCACATCAACGGAATAAGGAATTAAGAATGAAGAAGGGAATTCTTCAGTGCACAACCGGCATCTCAGTTTTTAATTGCCATTTCTTCGGAGTTGCAATCGACGCGTGTTCATCTTATTGTTATTTATTTTTTGTTATTATTATTTTTAATTATCCCTGTTATAAAATTATAACAAATACTTTTTTTAACTGGAGAAAATGAACACTTATTATCAAATTGTCGTTCATTAAAAGTTATCTCGTAACATGTGTTATTTAATATCAAAACAATTAAAGAAAAAATAACAATAAATCAACGGAGAATAAATTAGCAGTAATTTGATTTAAATAGAATAATAATTCAAGATGAATGAGCCTGAACATTTTTGCTTTTTATACTCACGCTGAGCGCTGCTATTCTCCGGCTAGTACACTCAATTTTCCAGCACTTTACGTGTCTAGTCTTTTTAAAATATAAAAAAAATGCGATTTCTTGAGTGCTTTCACAAAGAGGTACAATTCTTGGTGGTGAAAAAATTATAAAAATATTTTTATCATTTTTATACTTGGACAATTGTCCTCAGTGATGAAATATTATTGTTAAGTCTAAAGTGAACAATTTTAATCGTTGAAATTGAATAATATTTATCACTACAATAATTTTTTATTGTTATTAATATCAAAGAAAAAAGATAAAAATTTTTTGTTAAATTGCACTGTATTTTCTTAACTATTGAGCTTTTTAATGATATAAGCTCATCCCGATGTTACACTGATCAAGAGCTTTCATTTGAGTACCCACATGCATTTTTGATATATTTATCACATATACATTATATATAATATATATAAATATACAAAATATATGAAAAATTGATGTGGATACTCAAATGAAAGCTCTTGATGAGTGTAATGTCGGGATGAGCTTATATCTTTAAAAATGTCAATAATCCACGAGATACAAGGTCATTTAAAGATAGACTATTTTCGAATATGGAGCCTAAAAATCGTAATAAATTGATACAAAATTTTTCTTATTCTCTTAATAATATCATTATTACAAAATTTCTATTAAGGTTTTAATTTTATTTATAGACAATAATTTTTTGTCAACTAAAAAAGTATTGTTTGATACAAAGTAATAATAATTGTTTTTTTCTCGGTGTAGAAGCAAGTGTCGTGTACGCAAAAAACAAAAATACAAAAGTTTAAATGAGAGAAGAGAAATTGTGAGGGCCGATGAATACGGTCCATTATTCCACTCGATAAAGCAATTTCTGTGCACTCACAAAATTATGTTTCTGCTATTTAGCATTGGGTACTGTTCGATCGACGGTATACAGTAAATAGTAAAAGCAAGAATAGGTATAGTAAGAATAGGGTGTAAAGTATGTAGGGGTTAGAGACGGGCTCACGCTTCTATTCTATTCCATTTGGATGGACTCGGAGGAAAGACAAACGGAGGTGGTGAGAGTTGGAGCGTGAGTTCCACAGAAAGATAAAAAAAGAAAGGCTGCCAGACGTTACGGAAGTAGAAACTGCTTTGACGGAGTCTTTATATGTGTGGCAAACGATCCGTTACCGTCAGTAATCGATCACTTTCTTACATACCGTGTAAAGACAATATTAATTACATTAATTAATATCACTTTTTACCGCAATTAATATTAAGAATAAAATGTTTCTTCGATTTTAATTCTAGACGGGCTTTTAAAAACTAGCGCTGCAAATAAAGTTGATATTTTTTTAGCATTTGCAATTTATTTTATGGAAAAAAAAGTGGTAGTTTTTTATGTCTGGTTTATGATGTGGTCCCAAAGGAGTTTAGCTTGAGTTGGTTGATGTGTGCAGTGGGGAAATGTAGGTGTATATATAATAGGGAGAGTCTGAGCGGAGAATTTCAAAACGGCGCCTTGACCATAAATATGGAGTTGATTCAAGACGAGCACGAGGTGGGACGAATAATATCTCCCGTATTTTCCTTTGCTTTACTGAATTATTATACGATTCATGTTTCGAATTGACTCACAAAATACAAAGCGGAAGAGAACCAATGTTATTGTACGGTGGATCACGTGGATAGAAGACGGGTCGATGCTTAAGTAGATATAGACCATGCACGTATGTCTACCATTTAAGTTTTAAATTTTCTATTGTATATTAAAAGGAATATTACAGCTCGAGATACTCTTTAGATTTTTATTTTCAAAAAAAATATACTTTCCTTTCAAGTTTATCGTGAAAATATTTTTTAGCATGCTTAATAAATCAATATATAATTTTTTTTATATAAATATTGACCATATAAGGCCACAAATAAACACATTTGGCTTAAAATGCCCATTTAGAATTTTTTTTTTAAATGAAATTTAGTTCTAAAATATTCCGATAGGTGGCGAATGGTCGCTGAATCTTCTCGCTACTAGAGAGTTAAGTTTTAAAATATAGATAAATTTTTTTAATTTTTACAAAAAGCTTATTTAACATTAATTTTTGCTTTTAATTAAAAACTAAACTAATTTATCAACTGTACTAGATATTTATTAGTTTAAATTTTCATATAAAGCTTGATATGACAATTGATTGTAGGACAAATAAGAAAATTTTATTTTATAGGTGTTTTCTTAGAACAACAAACTATTTGCGAGTAAAACGATATTAATGACGAGTAATAAATCGAAAGCATCCAAAGAATGATTTGATATTATGTAGAAATCCAACACCATAGAGCTGTGTAACTCGATTCTGTGAACCCTAAAACGGATTCCCGTCACAACATTAGTAATGAGTATCATTCTTTAGTTCAAAAGGGTATCTTATTTCT